GAAGTTGTTGCCAACTTTGCCAAAACATCTGCTCTCGAATTTTCAGTTCTAGAGACATGTCTGATCTTTACTTGCATAAATTTCTTGATCAATTCTTGCACCTTCCTAAGATAAAGGACCATCTTCTCACCCTTTGCCTCGTAAGCACCCTCTATCTGTTTTACCATGAGTTGTGAGTCACTGCAGATCTCCAGTTGCTCGGCTTCCATTGAATGAGCTAAGTTGAGCCCTGCTATGACTGTCTCATACTCGGTTTCGTTGTTTGAAGCTTTGAATCCAAATCTCAGTGCGTATTCAACATCTATCTCATCGGGGAAAGTCAGAATCAAACCAGCTCCACTGCCCTGAGCATTGGCAGCTCCATCTACTGAAAGTTTCCACGTGGGGAGGTCAGGTACTAACTGTCCTGTCTCTACAGGTATCCCAATTGTGAATTCTGTAATGAAATCTGCCAATATCTACCCCTTAATGGCTGTCATTGGCTTGTATCTGATGTCAAACTCGCTAAGTTCAACGGCCCATTTAACCAGTCTCCCCGATGATTCTGGCTTGTGCAGCACCTGCTTTATTGGTTGATCTGTTGGGACTTTGATAGTATGTGCTTGGAAGTAGGGTCTTAGTCTCCTGGCAGTTGTCACTAAGGCTAAAATGAGTTTTTCCATTTTAGGATACCTTTCTTCTACCCCCCTCAGAGCTCGGTTGCAGTAGTAAACTGGTTGTTGAGCTCTGTCCTTCTCCCTTACTAGCATTGCGCTGGTTGAGAACTCTGAGACAGCCAGGTAAAGGGTAAGTACTTCTCCTTTTAACGAACTTACCAAGATAGGTGGGGAGCTCAAGTATTCTTTCAATGCTTTGAAGGCTTCTTCACACCGAGTATCCCATTGAAAAGCTTTCTTTAAGACTCGAAAGAAGGGCTGACACTTGTTGCTTGATCTGAAAATAAAACGACTCAGGACAGCTATTCTCCCGGTTAAACGTTGTATTTCTCTCGTGTTGGAGGGAGGCTGCATATCCAACACTGATTTTACCTTCTCTGGGTTAGCCTCTATCCCTCTACTATTAACTATGAATCCCAGAAATTTTCCTGCTGACACCTCAAAGGCACACCTGGCAGGGTTGAGCTTCATCTTGTATTCTCTCAGAACCTGAAACGACTCTGCTAGGTACCCAATGTGGAGCTCTGTCTTCAGTGACTTGACCAGCATGTCGTCAATATAGACCTCCATGGAGGTCCCAATCTATTTTTGAAACATCTTATTCACTAGGCACTGGTAAGTAGCTCCTGTATTTTTTAACCCGAAAGACATCACTTGATAGCAGTACGTCCCTTGCTCGGTTATGAACGAGGTTTTCTCTTGGTCACTAGGATCCATCCCGATCTGATTGTACCCCGAGAAGGCATCCATGAAGCTGAGCAGCTCATGTCCCGCAGTGGCATCTACAATCAAATCTATCTGGGGTAAAGGAAAACTATCTTTCGGGCAAGCACAGTTGAGGTCTGTAAAGTCAATGCAAAGATGCCATTTGTCGTTTGTCTTCTTGACTAGGACTACATTGGCTAGCTAGACTGGGTAATCCACTTCTCGAATGGCGTTTGCGTGAAGGAGCTTGCTGACCTCTTCGTTGATGGTTTTTTGACGCTCCGGGGCGAAGCTCCTCCTCTTCTGCTTAATGGGCTTATAGGATGGATTCATGCTGAGCTTGTGAGTGATGACAGAGGGATCAATCCATTTCATGTCCTCTTGCTTCCATGCAAAAACCTCCTTGTTCCTTTTTAAGAATTGGATGAGGAGATCATTGATCTCCTTGCTCAGCTTGGATCCAACGTAAACAAGATGCTCTAGCTCCTCATAGATTTGAACAGGTTCCACCTTTTCTGATGATGTTGGCCTGGTCTCGAGTTCATCCCTCATGTCAAGCTCATCCAATTGGATGCTCTCAACCTCCTTATTTCTCATGGATGTCATGTAGCATTCCCGTGCTACGCGCTGGTCTCCTTGGACCACTCCAACTCCATTTTCTGTTGAAAACTTCACTATAAGGTGATAGGCAGAGGGAATAGCCCTTATAAAATTGAGCGAGGGTCTTCCAAGGAGCATATTGTATGCTGAAGGTGCGTCAACCATTAGGAATTTCATAGCTGTAGTAGTCTGACAAGGTGGGTCACCTAAGGTCAAGATGAGTTGGATTGACCCTAGGGGCAGCACCTTTTCTCCTAAGAATCCCAATAGGTGGGCACTTACTGGTTCAAGCTTTTCCCTCCCTATATCCATTTTGTCGAAAGCAGAAGCAAAAATGATGTCTGCTAAGCTGTCATTGTCAATCAAAACACGATGGATAGTCCTGTTGGCCACCACAGCTCTTACCACCAAAGGGTCGTCGTGGGGATGTTGGCAGCCCTCCAGATCTGAATCTGAGAAAGTGATAGCCGTGTCGAAGCATGGAGATTTAGACACAGTATATACTTCGGGAGCTTCTGTGGCTCTGATTTTTCGCAAGTGGGCCTTTTTGGCAGAGCTGGATCCTCTTCCTCTGGCAAATCCTCCAGATATCAATCTGATCTCCCCCATAGCTTGCTGGTGTGATAACCATGGTCTCTATAGAAGTCACAATACTTCATAGGATCCCTTTTTGTCGGGTCTGCTTTAGTCCAGGGTGGCCACCTTAGGAACTTCTCATTTTGCACCTTATACAGTATCTGAGACACTATAGCAATCAGGGGGTGAGCTGTCGGTGTGCATACCTCGGTTGTAGCTATGATTGTGGAGGGCCGAGGCGATCCCTGACATTTTCCCTTCTCTTCGAGGAACGCTCTCTGTCTCTTCTTGGAGACTTGTCTCGTTCTCTTTCCTTTCTAGGACTTCGTTCTCTCTTCTTTTCTTCCTTCCCTTTCTCCTTTCTCGACAAAGAGCTCCCGACCTTGGAGAGGAGCGCTTCCTCGTCATTTATGTACTTTTTTGCTTTGGCGAGCACCTCCGCCATACTAGTCTAGGGGTTCTTTGAGATAGAAAATATCAGGTATTTTGACTGAACCCCCAGACCTGCTTTGAAGGCTGTAATAGTAAATTTTTTGTCTAGGACATCTACCTTCAAGGATTCTAAGTTGAACCGTTGGACATAATACCGTAGGTTCTCATCAGGTCCCTGTTTCATATTTAACAAATGGTAGCTCGGTTTCCTATAGGTCCGAGCTCCAATGAAGTGGGACACAAACGAGATTGACAGCTCTTTAAAAAAGGAAATCGAGGCTGGGGGGAGTCTGTTGAACCATGCTAAGGCTGAGCCTTTCAGGGTGATAGCAAAGGCCCTGCATCTTATTGGATCTTGATATCCATGCAACTCCATTTGGTTTTTGTAGGTGTTGAGGTGGTCCACGGGATCTTTTGTCCCATCGAAAGCATCCACCTGCGACATTCTGAATTTAGGTGGGAGAGAGAAGTGCAGCACCCCAACAGTGAATGGGGATTCAATTAGCTGCACCAACCCCAGCAATGAATGGGGATTCGATTAGCTGCACCAAGGCATCCATACTGACTGGGGCCTTGCTCTTCACTGTCTCCTTCATCTGGCTGAGCTCTTGCTGGATGTCTTTGAAACGTTGCTCCCAGTGGTGTTCTCTTCTCTCCTGTTGATAAAGGAAGAAGTCGCTCCTCTCCCCTTCCTTATACTGACTTTGCACTTCCTCGTTGTGTCTATTCCTAGGGGATAGTCGAGGTTCTTGCCCGAAGGTCTAGCTATTCTCTCCCACCTCATTAACTTCTCTGAGGGGGTCGAGATGCAGTTGCTCTCTTGGTGGTGGGTTATTCTGGCCTCCTTGGGTCGGTCGTGTCTCCGGTGGACGTTGTAGGAGCTTTAAGAGCTCTTCGTTCTGTTTTATCAGACGTTCATTGACAAGACGAAGGGCCTCCATCTCATTATTCATGGGAAGGCCCCCCCATGGGGGGATCTGCTTCTTGAGCGTTTTCGGGTTGCCTGTTATTTACGGCTTCCTATTGATCTTGCATCCGTAAAAGATTAGTCTGACTTTGACTCATGTTTCGCATTGATACCATCAGTCACTGGAACATCAGTTTTATTTGAAACAGAAACAATCGTTCCCACTGACGGCGCCAAACTGATAATGTATTTCAATGTGATGAGAATTTGTGATGATGAGTAAATGAAAGAAAACAATATTAAAATTGTTAGGATCTGAGCTACTAGACTTGAGTGAATGATACTGAAAATTGTCGGGGAATTGGGGATTAACACAGTAGGAATATAGTGGTTCACCAGCTCGGGAGCTCGGCTAATCCACTCTTTAATAGAGACTTTTGCTCCTTGTCTTTCAATAATGATGATTGCAAGAGTACAATGGCTAGTTTTTGCCTCTAGGGTTCCTCTCGTTCTTTGGGGGCGTTACATAGTATTTATAGGGTTGTTCCCTATTCAGTGGGGTCTTAGCCGAGATTTTTGCCCTTATTTTGTGGGGTTCTCCTTAATTATAGGAGAAGATCTTGATTGGTTGAGATTAAGTGCATTGATTATTGTTTCCTAACGCTTTTAAGAACCTCTCGTGATCTTCCAGCTGTTGCCTTAGTTGTTAATGCCCTTGCTTATCTCGAAGGGACCTCTAACTCTACTCTTCTGAGTTCTGATCGTCTAGTCTGATCTCCTGAACTGAGCTGACTTTCTGAGCTGGCGTTTGAGATTTATTTTGAGGTATCATCATTGTCCATACCAATTTTATGTATCACTTTGTTTATATCACCGATGTGACACAATCATAATTATTTAATACTTAATAAACTCTACGAGACCCATTAATTTAATGGTTAATGTTGAAATATTACATAAAAATAATTCAAAAAGATAAGTATATACCAAATGAACACCGTAGAAGATTATAGCAGAGGGGGACATTTTATATCATTTAGAGAGAGAGAGGTCTTGCAAGCACCAGAAACTTCTCTTTCCTCTTTTGCCCCAGAACTAGAAGAAAACCCCAGAAGCGTCTCCCCATGACTATAAATATGCATCTCACCTCCCCCAACTTTTCATCATTCAAAAATTCAATTCTCTGTCTTCATTCGCTTCCAAACTCCACATCTCTAATTTCAGTTTTACTCGAACACTTCCAAACTATATCGCTCATTCCAAGCATCTTCGGGGGCCGACGCACCAACGTCTTCGACCCATCCTCTCTCAACATTTGGGACCCCTTTGATGGCTTCTTCACCTCTGCCCTCAGCAACGAACTCAATTCAGCCCGCGAAACCTCTGCATTCGCCAACACACGAATTGACTGGAAGGAGACGCCGGAGGCTCACATTTTCAAATCTGACCTCCCTGGACTGAAGAAAGAGGAGGTGAAGGTTGAGGTCGAAGAGGGAAGAGGGAAGAGTTCTCTAGATAAGTGGAGAGAGAAGCAAAGAAAAAGAGGAGAAAAAGAACAAGTGGCATCGCGTTGAGAGGAGCAGTGGCAAGTTTCTCCGGCGGTTCAGGTTGCCGAAAAATGTGAAGATGGAGGAGGTGAAGGCTAGTATGGAGAATGAAGTGTTGACTGTTACTGTGCCTAAGGTGGAAGAGAAGCAGCCTGAGGTGAAGTCTGTTGAGATCTCTGGCTAAGACGACAAAACACTCCCTAGTTGTTTTCTGTTTGTCGTGTGCTGTGTTTGTGACCACTGTTTGTCTTGCTTGTCTTATCATCTCATCTGGGATAAAATAAAGTTAGTCTGTTTTTGTGCCTCTAAGCTAATAGACAGACACGTAAGGGGCTTTACAACAATGGCGTTAAGCTGGTTTCTTGTTTTTAATAAAAGAATGTGATTTCTTTTTAGAAAATAAAAGTGTAGTGTAACATATATATATATATATATATATAAATCCTTATCATTCAAAGAGAATTGAAGACTATCTAGTAGGGTGGTCTAATTGGTTAATGATGTTAAAGTTGAAAGTTTGAGTCTTATAGTTTGGAGCTCGAAAGTTTATTATGTTAATTTAGGTAGGTTTATTTTTTATAAGAATAATGGATGGTCTATAGGTGTTTTTTTTTGCCTCCATTTTTATTCTTACAAAAAAAAAAAAAAATAAGAGAGAAAATTGAAGGATTTTTTAATTCTTGAAAAATTGGAAGAGAGTCGAACCCGTAATAGAGTACGGGTAATGGACCAAAGCAGTACAGGTTTAAAACTACGTAACACTAAAAGCTTCCACAGTTGGGACAAAAATATAACATCAAGATACAAGTATTCATTGAAGCACACACTACTTGTAAAAAAGGTAGGACAAGCAGAAGATAAACATATTGTGACACTAGCTAGGATGATCGAACCTCAATGTTTCTACATGCTCTGTTTCTGTCAAGATGGAGCTCTGCTTCTTTAACATATCTGCAAGGTATAACAACTGTTACCCAAATTCTTAAATCCAAAGGAACATACCTTATAGTGACTGATCTAGTCTGTGTACGTCTTATTTTTGTTTCCGGAGCAGGTCATGGGCCACAGTCCACTTCGACCCATCGAGTTTGCCAGCCTGGCCCATCGAATTCAATCCGTGCCCAACTCGAAAGTTGCAAGGCTTGAGTTAGAATTTTTAATATTTTAGTTGAGCTTGGACAAAAAAATTTCAACTCGAATTAAATTGAGCAAACCTTGGATTGAGACTTCGGATTGTCGGATTCAACCCAAATATTAAAATCGGGTTGAACCTGATTATTAAATAAATAAACTATATAAATATATTTAGTTAAAGTTAATATTTATGTTCACTCTTCAAAATCTAGACTTTTACTTCATTTCAAGTCTTCACTCCTGCGTTTCCATCACTCTCAGATCCCTCTCTCACTCGTCTCTCATCTATTCTCAGACTCTCAGCGTTCCTCTCTCACGCGTCACTCTTCCCTCTCTCACTCCTTATCTTTTCATCCGCGGCTCGTCTTTCATCTCAAATCACTTGAAAAAATCAAATTTAAATGTCAAAAAATCAAGCCAAATTAAGTAATCCAAGTTCAACCCAATTTTTTACCTGAAATCAGTCCGAATTAAGTAATTCAATTTCAACCCAAACTCGTCCAAATTAAACTTTGACAGTACTCAAATTGAGTACCTTGAATTCAGATAGTGTTAAAATTAGGATTGAAAATTATATACTTAAAGTTGGACTATGATTAACCTCTCAATCCGCCCAAGTTACACCCCTAACAGAATTGGCACTCAAGAAATTTATAAATATTTTCTAACATTTTTTTATTCTTCTTTATCAATGAAGTCTCCTCAATCAATAAAGAGGTATTTTTTTAAACTCAATTTCAACTTTACTGCCCCAATTTATGATTTTATAAAGGACAACGAGGTTTGTTGGTACCTCATACACCTATGCATAACAAAACTAAAGGAATTGAATTCCAGTGACCAGTTGCTGGGGGTTGAGTTGAGTATTGAACTATATATCCTCTTTATAATGAATAAGAGCCTAGGGAAGGGAAAAAGCAAAAAAAATTGAAAATTCCCCATGCTGAACGAAACCATCTATAATTCCTGTTAGCCTAAGAATTGTGCGGTCCACCAACGAGCTCAAGCCACTGGATACAAATGAAAATGATGCCAAATTTCTGTCCAAGGTTAGCTAGTCAAATTACGCCAAAAGGACCAAAGTTTGAATGCTAAAACCACATTTCCTATACCACATCCTAAAGTCATTTTCTACATTTCACACGGGAGAGAAATTAAAACACCATCAGCAGGATCTTCAGAGGTACGAGATGATTTTGTTGTGTTTAATCGGAACAAAGTTTCACTCATAAGCCAGTACATCTGCCAACTTTCAACAGGCGACCATGTTGGAATGATAAAATGCCCTGCGAACTTGTTCATGCAACCTCAGGTATTATACAGTGAAGTATTTACCGTATGCCCAAGTCAAAAGAATACCTATTTGTTAGAAAGCAAAGCACCATTTGTAGCTAGGACAGCGAATATGCACGAGTGTTATCGTTTTGCTGTCAGGAACTCCTTTAAATTCCATAAAATTCCCTTGTTATAAGGATTTGTAAACCTTATCTCAGGTACGGGCTGCCCTGCACAGAGAAAGCAATAAAAGATCAATTTCATAAAGGATGGTTAGAAAACTATGCCCCGCAAGCAACTTACCTGGCTGGGGTGGGACAATTAGTTGGAACTCAGGATATCTCCTCCAGTTTATCTGCAAACCATGACAATAGCAGTCATCAATACCGCAAAATCAGGAAATTCAGAAATACCATAAAATCGGTCTGGACACACAAATATTTTAAAACATTTTTAAGTTTCATCTGTTAAAGGCTACAGAATCAAAAAATAAATTTGGAACTTAAAGAAGCCCATGTGATAAATTCAAATGTAAGTATAGTCTGTATAGATGTAGGAATTTACCCACTCATCAGTTTTGATATTGAAACATATACAATACACATGCCATACCAAGAAAGCCACCTAGACATTCATCAATAATACTCTAGTCAGTACATTATCAGCTGATAAAACAGGCTACATCCCACATTTTTCAGAAAGAGCAGAATTAATACATAACCAGAAACAGTATACACCTGCCAAACCACTTGAAGACAAGAGAATAGCATTGTGCTAATAGCCAAATTTCCAGATAAACTAGCCTGCATAGATAATATCAATACGACATAAAGACAAGGTTAAGGTGTCACATGGGCTGTGATGCCAGTACAGCAAAGCACAATACAAAAAGAGCTATTAAATACTGATAATCAACACATAAGAATGCATGATCTTGTGAGAAATAAAATACCTCCCACTCAGCTTTCCCCAGTATATGAGATTTTGTGGAAACTGAAATACAGAGACAATCCGTGTCAAAACATATTATCCCACCAAAGAAGAAAGGAAAGAACACACACATATCAAGTGCTTTGCACTGCATAATCAAACACATGAAGAGAAACTGAAATGGAAGACACCAATACAAACTCCACTTCATGCTTAAAAGTCAGAAGCTGAGAGTTGAGGATGAGGAAAGCTCAGCACAACCTAGTCCCCACAATTATATGCCTTTTTTACTCATACAAACTTCACAAACTATAGGCGCACCATGGTGTAGGGTCAACTAACATCTAAGATAGATAACACCACCACCACAGGTACTGTACACCATAATAGTATTGGAGGATATAGAAAGTATAACAATATAAATATTGGTATCAGAGAAGCCGAATATGGAATTGGCATGGCAAACCCAAAATGTGATGATAGAGGCAATGGGAACAGTTAATGAGGTTATTCATACCTCTTCCAACATAGACATATGAGCACACACGGAAACATGTCTATGTTGTCACAGGTTCACTAATAGTTTTGGACCATCAACATTACAGCTGTCTGGCACTTTGAGCTGTCTGATATTTTTGTTAAATCATGGGTATCATGTCTTTCAACACCTTTGACCAATGTTCTTACAACCTTAACTCAGCCATATGACTAGTACTTGTAGATGCAGCCATTTGTTTTCATTGCAGTTCCAAATATGTTTTGCTCAAGTGTTCCCCCTAGTTGACAAGGAACATTTTATTAAGCCAATAAGGTCTGCAGTAATTTCATTTTTTTCCCACTGACGACTGCAAATTCTGTTCTTCGTTAAACATTTTTCACCAAAGGTTTAGGTGAAAAACACCAAATGGTATTTAGGAATTCAGTTCAACTGCATATTTAGGGATCTTATTGAAATACCATATATGGAGAGCAATGGACCTTCATAAGCATTCTTGACACCATTTGAAAATCTGTAAATTGACGACATTGATCGAACTTGCTAAATGATTCTCATTTTTCAAAACCTAGCCTGTCCTTACACATTATATACTTTGTAGTTTGTAATGACCCTAACAGATATTAGAAGTTTTGGTTTGCTTGTTGACAATACAGTCTAACTGGTAGGCCATTTTGAGTCAGCTCCATCTCTAGCCATTTATGCGCAATTAGATGCCACATTATACAATAACAGATATCTGTAACGAAGTACAGAAAACACGATTGATCAAAGCTTACACTGAGATGAGCATGTGATGTAAGAACACTCAGATATAATAAATCCAACTAGGAGAAATATGAAGAGGGCATGGTTTCCTTGACCTGCATGAAAAGAACATCACCTTCAGCATCCACTAGGGTATATTTCTGCACACAAAGCCATGTCCTATACCGAAATCTTTAAGGAAAGTTCACAAGAAGACAGAAAAGTGTAGAGCTGCAGTTCTTACAAGTAGGCTTTTTTAACAAGAGAAAGTATTGAACAAAAACCCATACTATTTGCCGTTACCTATACAGTTCCCAAAAGCAGGACAATGGTGATCAAATCCCTTTACATACGCCTTGCATTGCCTGCAATATCTTGCCCTCTGAACCAACACAGAACTCTATGAAGGGGCATACAAGGCAAATATTTTAGATGATGCAATATTATAACTAAAAAGTAGACATAGAAAAGAAAGTGACAGTAATCCTTAACTCCTTCAACAGGAAAATCTTGTGGCATGCCACAACTCAAAAGCTCCAATTCCTGCACATGTACATAAGATCAGCACGATGTTGTGCTATCTAAATGGCTTGTCAATGTATACAACCTCTGAATGGGCTTCTACTTCATGTTTTTCAAGACTGGAAGATTGGTGCATAATGAAACCAGGGTCACTTGACAAGATACTGCCACCAAAAATATGCATGTTATTGTATAACATATAGGATGAAAGGAATTTAATGTGAGAAATATCAAACCTCTTTTGTGTGCAAAAGAACAACTTATTTAAGTCTTGAAAGTGCAAGAAGCTGACCAACATAGACCAGTTACAAGCATAAGAAGTTCCATGTTGAATACAATGTCCAACAAAGGTGAGATGGCTGCAAGGAAGTAATACATTTAAAGTTGTAATGCTGCCCAGATCCAACAGAAAAAGTTTATTAGCTTGCATAGAATCAGGCGGCGATGTAAATGGAGACTGAGTCAGCAACCACAAGTCTGATTGTTTTTAGATTAAGCATTTTCCAGCTATGCACCCTTAGACATGAGCACACACAGCTTAGGCATAATGGATGATAAGACACACACATTCTGTTAAACCCCATTAATCAGTGATCTCCAAATGCCTAAGGTCAAGCTAACTGTTTAAAAGAAGTATTTAAAGGAAACGGATTTGAGTCATAGTTAAATGCTGAAGCATAAAAGCAAATTTCACTCATGAAGCCTAATTATGGAGACATATTCAGTCCTTTAAGAGCTTCAGCTGAATTGCCTTTTTTGAGAAATGGACCTTTATACACACACTGGAAGGCTGAAACTACTCTTTTTTGAAACAAACAGCAATAGTATGACATATATTCTAACATATTAAGTACAATCCAATTTTTCAGATAAATTATACCACTAACAGGGTGACAAATTCCCTGCAGAACAAGATAGTTATCTATATCCATAATTCTTCTTTTGTTTCCAGGATGTGCAATAACTCTATCAGAAACTGATATACAACCTAGTTCATGAGGCATTAATTTACAAGAAATGTAATATGCGGCGAAACAAAGAACAAAGAAAGGATAAAACTTAACTATTTAATAATATTAAAAATAATCTATGTGGTATCTACTTAACATAAAAAAAAAACCCATAGGACACCAATGGTGTCTTCTACTCTTTTAGCGAATTTAGCTATTTTGTATTTCTTTGTCCTATTTCATTTTTGAATTCTAGCATTCTCCTCATCATAGTTCTTCCTCTATCCATGAATCTATTTCTAAATTCCTCTCTTTTCCCTTATAATGATGGGTTGTATACGCATTAATTTTTGATATTCTAACTTGCCTCAAGTACCATGAGCCTGCTTGTCCCTTACATATGTCACCATGTTTTTATTACTAAGCAATTATTTGTGTCTACTTTATATTCCAATTGTTTTATCACATTTGGTTAAACGTACTGAAGGATATGCTCAACCCTAAAGGGAATGTCATTAATTTTTGCATAGTGACTCGAGAAGTTGTTTTCATAATTGCCTTTGATAATACTTCTACAAAATTTTGAAAGGCTATTTGACTTCATCAAAAGTGTTTCACTATTACATATACTCTCATTCCAAAAACAAATTGTTGCTCTGTTTGTTATTTTTCATTTAGTTATCATCAAAAGATCAACAACAAAACCACAAAAAAAAATTATTTACCACCAAGTCCCGCCCATTACACCAAATCCTCAAGTACTCAAAATTAACTAACAAATCCAGATACTAGACAAATTTATTTATACCTGGAACGGACTATCTCTCTCCAATACACAAAAAAATTTGTTCATAACTTGATCCAGTTTTAAAATAAACAATTAACATTAAAAAATAATCATGATTGAGAATTAAGAGTAGGTACCTTGCCGAACCACAGCAATATGAACGCACCAAATGGACAATATATTGAAGAAAACGAAAGCCGGAGCCGATGCACGCACTCCAACAAGTTTCTTGCAGCATCTACCGAAACCAACCACTGCCATCAGCACTAGAACTGCAATACAAAATCAAAACAAGCTTCGAACATAATTATACACACAGATATGTATATATTATCTATACGAGATGAGAGAGAGATTGAGAAAACCTGAGAGAGAGAGAAGGGTAAGGAGGGAGGAGAGGGGAAACAAGTGAGGGACCATGTACAAGGCAAACTGAGTGAGGAAGACAGAGATTAATGACACAACACAACGCCCTATCAACTCCCATGACGCCTTTACTTTCCTCTTCTTGTTGATTTCAGGCATTTTCAGCGCCAAAAGTTCTGTATTTTTTTCGTATCAAGTTTTTTGGGGGACAGAGAGAGAGAGAGAGAGATACGTCGTTCAAATTGGGTGCTTTCTCGATGGGGTTGCCACTGTGGACCTTGGCCTAACATGTGAAAGTGATGACGGTCCCGACGGGCTGTTGGGCTACCCTTAAAATCACAATTTGGTGAGCTGGAGAGTGGCTGGACCAGTGGGCCACTGGGCAGATGGGCTAAACCAGCGTTGTTTGACTGAGCAAAAGTTGAAGTGAATAAAGTTTGATTTTGACTTATTTTACTTTATAAGCCAACTTCAAAGTATACTTGATCGAGCTAAAGACGAGTATCTTTAATAATTACACATTATTTTAATGATAATTAGCTTAAGTTGACATCAAATAATCTTTGATCGAGCCTGATGGTGTGAAAAAACAGGGAATGAGACGACTAGAGTGTTTAAACCGTTAGTTTAATGCAAATGTAGGGTCTAATGATCATGAAAGAAGCAAACACAAGACAAGATGTGAGTGGTTCGTTAAGCTGAATAGTTAGATTAATACCCTGTCAATAGAGTCTATTACTCTTCTCTATTATATTTGCTTGAAAAAAAATAATAAGATTATAGCAGGGGGTTAAGTACCTTTTTTTAGGGTATTCTCTTCTATTTTATATGAGGCTAAGTTCTTTGTCTTTATCATAGATTACAGGGTCGCCCAAATCCATTAGAATCATTGGGGAATATTTGAATATTAGAGGCGATCA